GTCCTACAGGGAAACATCGACGTACAAATCTATGGGGGTAAAAAAAAAAAAAAAAAAAAGTGCCTTATTTTACTTAGCATAAGAATCTCTAGGTCGCCCTGGCTGGTTTGGCTCAGCAGTTAGAGCGTCGGCCTGCGGTCCGGAGAGACCCGGGTTCGGTTCCCGCTAAGGGCACGTACTTCAGTTGCAGTTTGTCCCTGGCCCTGGTTGGTCGTGCGGGTGGCAGCCACTCGATGTGTCCCTTTCACATCGATGTTTCTCTCTCTCTCTCTCTTCCTCTCTCTCCCTCCCTCTCTATCTGTACAAAAAATGGAAACATATCCTTGGGTGAGGATAAAAAAAAAAAAGAATCTCTAGGTCTAACCATGAGCAGCTCAATTCTTAATTCTTGAAGCAAGCGCTCCCATGAGCTTTGCTCTCTGGACACTCTCTTTAATCTCTATTACATTTATTGCAGTGACATTGGTTAATAACATTATAAGTTTTAAGTGTACGATTCTATAGTACATCATCTGTATATTGTATTGTGTGCTCACCACCCAGACTCAAGCCTGATATATCATCATATATTTGACCCCCTTTACCCTTATCACTTCCCTGCCCCTCCGGCAACCAACCTTCTTGACTGTGTCTCTGAGTTTTTGTGTGTTTGCATTGTCCACGTGTTGCTTTCTGTTTTATATCCCACGCATGCGTGCAATCATATGGTTCTTAATTTTTTTTTTCAATTGACATATCTTGTTTAGCATGATATTGACACTCTTGATTTCTCTTAGCTGGCTCTTTCCTGAACTGTCTTGTCTCAGCAAATAGTGTCTATCATGGGCCAGATCACAGATGACACTAGACACAGGTCAGCATGGTCATGTTCCCACGAAGCGTCACGTACGGGCGCTGAAATCTGGGTTTCAGGTGTTTGCACACGTCATAAAATATTCTTCTTCTCTCGATCGATGTCAACAGGTTAAAAGCATAAACATCCACCCTAAGAACAAGGTCCACACAAAAACAGCCGATCCCGATATTGACACAAATCTCCATAGATAAGATCTTTCTTTTGAGGAGGAGGAACGCAAGAACTTTATTGACATAAAAGTGCGAGTAAATGTGTTAAAACCTAAAAAGGGAGAACTTGGAGAGCACCCCGCTTCAAGCATGGCACCAGCTGCAGATGAGACTCTTTCCAGATGTTGCAGTCAGACAGGGTGTATCCATCTTCCAGCTGTTTTCCCGCAAAGCTCAACCTCTGCTGATCAGCAGGGATGCCCCCTTGTTCCTGGATCTTGACCTTGACGTTCTCAGTCATGTCACTGGGCTCCACCTCCAGGGTGATAGTCTTTCAATTAAGGTCTTCACCAATGTGTGCATCCCTCCTCTGAGGGGGATAGCCAAGACAGAGGACAGCCCCTCTCCTCCAATCAGCAGAGGTTGATCTTTGCTGGGAAGATGGCATACCCTGTCTTACTACCATATCCAAGTTCTTTCTCATCTGTGACTTCATGGCCCAAGCAAATAAGGTGACCAAAAGCCATTCCCTTTATTTATTTATTTGTTTATTTTTAAGAAATAGGGGTGTTACCCAGCCATTGTTGCTCAGTGGTTGAGTGTCGACTCATGCACCAAGAGGGAGCCAGTTTAATTCCAGGTCAGGGCACATGCCCAGGTTGTGGGCCCCATCCCCAGTAGGGGGCATGCAGGAGGTGGCCAATCGATGTTCTCTCTCATCAATGTTTCCATCTCTCCCTCTCCCTTCCTCTCTCTCTAAAATCAATTTTAAAAATTTTTTTTAAAGAAACAGGGTATTAACCTAAAAAATAAAAGGCCTTTGCCTGGCCAGTGTGGCTCAGTGGTTGAGTGTCGACCCATGTGCTAAGAGGTCGTCGGTTTGATTCCCGGTCAGGGCACATGCTCAGGTTGTGGGCCCAATCCCCAGTAGGGTGCACTCAGGAGGCAGTCAATTGATGTTCTTTCTCATCGATGTTTCCATCTCTCTCTCCCCCTCCCTTCCTCTCTCACTAAAATCAAGAAAGAGAAAATATTATATAAATAAATAAATGAAATTTCTGCACAGTTACAAAATTAAATCAAAGCAATGTTTGTTTTTTTCAATTTTCAGTCCCGTAGTCATGATATCTGCTTTCTTGTCTTGCAGACGGTTCTTTGGGACACAGTGCTGCTAAGCCTGAGTCCCAGTGTTATGTTGCCCTGTTTTTACCATTCCAGGGTTTGAGCTGTAAGACATCCAGACAGTTCCTCTAGGGCAAAGTTCCAGGTCCATTTTATTTTATTTTATTTTATTGTTAATTCTCACCAGGATATTTTTCTTTTCTTCTCTTTTTTTTTTTTTAATCCCCACTCAAGGATATTTTTCCATTGGTTTTTAGATAGAGTGGAAGGGACGGAGGGAGAGAGAGAGAGAAACACAGATGTGAGAGGGATGCCTCAATTGGTTGCCTCTCGCAAGACCCTGACCAGGGCCAGGGATTGAGCCTGCGACCCA